CATGGCTTGTTTTTAATGGGGGGTTTTCTCCACCAAACCACTTAAAAAATTCACACTTTAAGAAACTCTAGACATGTCCATACTGATTAATCGCAACGTGTCACGAAAAACAGTACTGTGGCTATCCGCTAAAACGTTCCTATTTCACATGTTGAAGGTGTCTTGTTTTTTTCTTTGTTTCAATAAAATAATAAAATCGGCACTGTCAAATGAAAAATCTGCTTAAAAAGCCATGATTTTGAGATGGATAATCACTTGTCGTGTTACAACCGAACGGTATACTCATGCACTCTTCTCTTCCAAGCATTTACAATGTGGCGATTTGTTATTCGAAATCCTGATCGTCAAACCAAGCCCGGGCTTTCTGATCAAAAAAGAATCGACAATGATGAAGAAACCACACAAGCAAATGAAGAAGTAACTCCAGTTTTAGAAGCTCTTGGGCCACATGGTCAAAAGCGAAAACGTGGACACTATGAATTTTACAGTTCCAAACTCTGTGCGAAGATCGGCAAATACGCAGCCAAAAATGCCAACTCAAAAGCAGTGGTCTTGGCAAAAAAGGTTAACGAAAGTCGGTCCACCATGAAAGATTCATACTTAATAAAAAAGAACTTTGAAAGTCAAAGCAGCCTGTAACTAGCATGCCACATGCAAAACGGGACCGACCACTTCTGTTGGGCGAACTCGATTTAAGAGTTCAGCAATACATTAAAAAGACTAAGAGACGCGGATGGCATCATGAACAGAAATATCATTGTGGCCGCTGCACATGGTATTGTGAACATGGTCAGAATCATTGCTTTGTCGTATGGGATTCGTTAAAAGGAAAGGCACAGAGGCGGCTAAAAAATTTTGGCGAACTTAAGGCATCATTCTTAGAACGCATTACAGAAGCCGTGTCAAACAAAGCAATGCCTGCCGAATTAGTGATCAATTTTGATCCAACTGGAGTCCATATCGTACCCGTGAGCTCATGGACATTGGCCCAAGAAGGAGACAAACAAGTCCCGATTATTGGGTTAGAAATCATCAGAAATTTGGTGTTTCCATGGCCGGAAACTTGATTCCACTACAAGTGCTATATAAGGAGAAAACCAGTCAATGTCATTCGAACTTCAATTTTCCCACCGAGTGGGACATTTACCATACAGCTAACCACTGGAGCAATGAGGACAGGATGGTGACAATGTTTTCCTTCCACACATCCAGAACATCCGTAATCAACTTAGCCTGCCAGGTGAACAAAAATCTTTGGTGATATTCAATGTTTTTCGAGCACATCAAAGCAAAAGTTTTTTACAGAAACTCCGCGATGGTGGTGTGATACCAGTATTTGTTCCTTCTTGTTGTACGTCGGAGCTGCAACCTCTGGACCTCTCATTCAACGGCAAATTCAAAAAGGAGGAATTTAATGCATGGTATGCTAGCAAAGTAGTTGCAGCTTTCGAACGTGGAGAAGATATCGGGCAAGTAAATGTTGATTTGCAACTGTCTGTTATGAAGCCCCTACATGCACTTTAGCTACTATGCGTCTATGACAATCATGAACTCATCATAGATGGATTTGTTCAAATCGTCCATCAAGGAAACATCAAGGTTTGAACATTTTTGTGACAATAACATACTGGTACATTTTTTGGACAGCTACATTGTAAATTTATTAATTTTAAGAACTGACATTCGTAGTTGACTGCTACATGTATGTGCAATAACACAATAAGACACTACTAGTATTTGATCATTACTGTAATTTTATTTCTTTGTCATTACTAATATTTATTAGTAGTATTTATTTATTTATTAAAATAAAATTACCAATAACTTTATCTCTGGCTTGTTTGTTATCGTTTTTCACAAAACATGGCCATTTTGTTCACTGTCCCCATCATGTGCCATGTAAACCATACCATTGAAACCCCTTAGCTTGGTAATTATTCGCGAAGACTAAAATTTGTTGAATGCAAAATTTAAACGGTTTACAGTAGTTTATTTGCAATTACATTGTAGGGCATTCTCCACCAGTTACTAGGTATGTAACTATGGCAATATGCATATTTTCTGAAAGCTGGTACAATCCCAGGAATTATGCAGTTTTAAAACACCAAGTGTTATCACATGAAAAATACAAATTACAGTACCAGGACTGTGCATTGGTCTATTCGATCACCATATTGTCCTCATGCGTATTAGCAATTTTCTTGTGATATTACCTCACATTTTATTACATGTATGTGTATTACAGGGAGATATTGTCCGTAAAATGAAAGAGGAGAAGGCTGCTGAGATTGATATTAAAAAAGCTGTCACTGAATTGAAAGCCAGAAGAAAGGCTTTGGAAGACAAGGTATGATACATATATTCTCACATTCAATTACTGTTTTATTGAACAAAAATCTTTATATTAATTAGTCCCCGTTCGAACGTAGTCCGAAAACGGGGACTTATGTTTTGCCCTGTGTGCGTCTGTGTGTCTGTGCGACCGTGATCACCTGTATTTCAAACATGCATGGACCGATTAAGTTCAAACTTCACTCATACATCACACATTATATGGGACATATGCACATGGATTTGTTTCATGATCCGATTAACGATAGTCGAATAGCGGCCATTTTAAGGCTGAAAATGCATTG